AAATAATACACAATGTGTACCTTTTCACATGCATAATACGTATTAGGCTCCGTCACTCGTGGTTGTGTGCCGGTCTGATGTTTGACTGTTGACTGTGGCCCACGGGGTTGTTGCGTCGGCTGAGGTGAAGTCTTGTTGCAAGACGCAGATTGTGACCGGATGGACAGGCACAGTTCGGACGTGGGCTTAAATTTGGCGGTGCCCGTTGGGAATGTTTTTACTTTCATTGACTATTGACTTAGTGTACCCGGCGAGGCTGACATAGTGCCCACGAGCATTTGGGCTCCAGATTATTTGTGTTCAGATGACTGCGATTGCCGGAACGTAACGTTCGATGTTGGGAATTGTATGCTCTGTCAAGTTTCGTCATTTTTGTTCAGTTCAAAGATAATAAATACTGTGATGGATGCAAGTGCACCCTCACGTGTCAAGCGCATTTTCCCGCGCACATTAGCTACTCACACAGCCTAGCTGAACGGTTCCATTGTTCCATCATTTTATCTTGCATAATTAGAGCATTGTCAGAAAGACTTCGAAGAGCTTGTTAAGTGCCAGCTAGTGTAACTACCAGGACTTGGTGAGTGTAATTTAGTGTTTTTAATTTTTTTTTGCATGATGTTTTTGGGCCAAAAGCCTGACTCTGTTTGTTTGAAATTGAGGTCAACGTGCATTAAGCGCACACAGGCAATGTACATGTATTTTATATATGAACCGTATGTGTGAACCCAAGTGCACATGTTGGATTTTATCATACAGGGTGTTTATTTATAAATGATGAGTGAATAAACCGGATTGCTGTTTGCTGGTCAAGTTCGAGTTGTGTCTCATATTAGAAGTCGTCCAAACCGGGACTCACTTCCCATCTGTTGGGGTTTACACTCCAACAAAATCCTGGGGCTACGCAAGTAGCAACCATCACATACTAAAACCTTTTGATGCAGGACCCAAATCACATGTGGCCGCTGACGAGAAACTTTGAGTCTAATTTGATTAGCCTTGTATTCCTGACCTGAGGCACTGCAAAGTTCAAACAACAGTAAGAGAGTTAATCCGACACTCAATTCAGCGAGTAAAGAAACACCCTAAAGTAGAGAATGTCTCCAGTTTCTGGTCAGGAAAAGTCTACTCCAAAAGTAGAAAAAGTGTACTCCAAAAGTAGCGAGGTGACTAGTTTGTCCCCGTTTGCCTTAGAACACGTGTAGAAACTAGACTTGCCTTTATTGCTAATTGTAGGCCATTTTCCAATACTCAACTTCGGCTCTGTCTCAGGCTTCAACTTTAACTAGCTGACGTTGAAGCTGTAAGCGCAGTTATTAGTTTAATAGTGCCACTAAATATCAAAAAGATGCAAGAGAGCCTGAAATTACAGTAATCCAATTTCATTTAAACGCTTCAGGCCCACGATCAGGGATTGGTTTCGGGAACGAAGCCTGAGACGGAGCCCAAGTCAACTATTGGAAGAGGGCCAAAGTGTTTTCAGCTTGCAGATGTACATAGGACATGAGACCATTGTTTTATTTGGTTCCATAAATGACAAGGCCATTTTATAAGATGCCTCGCTAAATATATCACAATCTGTATGAGAACCAAAGGGCCTCTTCGTATTTTATTTAAGCGTACTTGCCCCAATTTAAAACAGATTAATAAAAATAATGAAGCAGCCAGTCAAGCACGTTGGGCACCTTTGGGGCATTGTACCGAATAACAAACATTTTCATATTGCCCATTCCTAACTCTGCGGCAGTACAATAATTGGAGACTTTTTTGCGTTTAAAATTAGAATTTTGTTCGCATTTTATATGAAGAATAGAAACTGACAGCAGGAGACAACCGAAAAACATTACATTTCAGCAAACAGCAGCACTGGCTTAGCGGATAGTTTCCAGTCTTAGCCCCGTTTGTTAGGCATATCTGTCAACAGAGGTCGCCTGGCTACGCAGACCCCGATACCTCTATGCAAAAACAAGCAACTTTCCATAGGGATCGACTTCTATTTAATTTATGCCACATAGCTTCCGTCGTATCATTTCGTCCCTGCCAGTTAGGTAGGCACCTTGGCCTGATGGTGTTGGTGTAAGATTCCTCGGTAATACTGTGAATTTGATCTCTCCAGTCTTGAGCAGAAACTTCGCCACGTCCGTCAGATCCGGTCGCCTTTCCCTGGCCTGGAAAACTGTCAATATAACTCCTATCTTAAAACCAGGGGATCATTATTAATTATCAGTCTGCTGCCTTAACGTCTTCTCTATGTAAAATCATGGAAGAGTCATCTTTGATGATATTCTTGGGCAACTGGGTGATTATTGTTTAATTTCTGCCAATTAACATGGCTTTATGCCTAGTAGGTTCTGTGTAACTCAACTAACTACTGTGTTTACCATACGTGGGCAGCAGACTTGTATACCACCCTAGAATTGATGCTGCGTTTTTAGACATGAGCAAAGCCTTTTACCGTGCCGCATGACATACTACTCCATATGCTACCTTCTGGGTGCAACATCAAAGGTGCTTTCTGGAGTTGGATAGAAGATTCCCTTGTTGGCGGTCTGTAAGGAGTGACTTTTCTTAGACAAGCCTCGGAGTAGTCTGTGGTGAAATCAAGTTTTCCTTAGGGTAGGGTTGTTGGGCCGCTACTATTTGATATCTTCATTAATGATATCTCTCATGATGTTAATTTCCAGTGCCTTATTTGATGATGATTGTGTTACTATGTTGCCCCATTTTATACACAACTTGATGTTTGTATTCTTCAGAAGGATCTTAAGGTAAACTCTGAATAACGAGGACAGTCTCCCAAAATGGCTGGGTTGATGCAGTTAAATTCCACACTTTCTTGTCAGAGCATCATTACATACGTAATTACTGCTTGGTATTGCAGAAACCAAAACTCTAGAGGCTGCTGAAAAGGAAATTCCTGTTCGCCCATCTCGTGTATTCTTGCAAGTGGTATGTTTTATGAGTAAACTTTAATTCGGATTGATCTTTGTCTCAAGTGCCGAAAATGCATGCAAAATTGCTTTAGTTTCATGTGAGACAGGTATTTGCTCTATGTTGCAATCAGCTTTCTAAGGACCTTTCAAAGGAGGGCACACTTTTACTAACCTGGTTAACAAACGATGAGGTAATGTGAATATTGCAGTGGCGTCACTACCAACAAGATGGTGCTTGATAGCTCTCGGCACCGTTCGACCAATTACAGAGTGTTTCTACTCGGTATGTTCAAGGAAGTGGTCTCTGTTGTGAAAAGTTAGCAAAGTGGCGCCAGAACCACTTTGTCCCTACCTAATCACCCATCAGCCTTTAAAAGAGAAACAATTTTGTAGACTCATTTTCACCTACTTAAACCTGAACCGAAATAGATTTGTGGCAAATAAATATAGGTGTCACATATTTTAAACTAGGATGGACGGGAAATGAAAAACAAAAAGCAATAAATGAGTTCTTCCAATACTCTACCTGTAGTTTTGAATTATTAATGACAACCTAACACTGCGCAATTCGACCGATACCTACTTAGATTTGTCACGTGGGTTTGCGTAGCACTTTCAGGTTCCTTTGCGCTTCCTCTCAGCATTTCTCTTCATAGCACGAACTGGAATGAGTGAACAACAACGGCTTGTTCGACCGCCTGGTTCCTGCCTCAAAAACTACTCGGAGTTAAAACGACAGATGGTGGTAAGGAACCTCGCCAGGCATAGGCCTCACTAATCCTCCCTCCCCCTTCAGGGGGAAAATCTGGGCATCACCCACGCTGCTCCACCTCTGAAGAGAACTGCTAACAAAAGTTGGTCATTTTGTGCTCAAAATTACTAGTATTGGTAGGTAAGGTCTTAATGACTTATTAAATCAAGACAGGACTAATATTCAGTCAACAGTGACTCACTTCGGTCAAATTTGACTAATATTTGACTTGTCTTTGACGAATAAATGTTAGTAATTGGCCTTTCTGGCTTAATTAAAAATAGCCACGGGCCGGTCTCACCAATTTAAATTGCCAATTTGAGACATAGAGCTGGACTAACTTTTATTGGTCAAAATGACTAATGTTTGTTTACAGTGAAGGACAAATGCCAGCAACCGGTTAGGGCCTGATATCTCCACATACAATGCTATACATAACTTGTGCACTTTTCTAAGCCTATATTGTTCTAACATCGCAATATGTGAATGCATTGTGTATGCACTACCAACGTCAGCTTTGTTGTAACCATGCGTCAATTTCCTCTATCACTTCCGGAAGAGTTCAACGGGTCAGTTCAATGCAGTGCCGTGTGGAATGCTAAGAGTCATGGAGTTCGGGTTAGTGTCACAATATAGTTCCAAATGAGCATAGATTTATGCAGTTAAAGATAGTTTTCAAATGTTTGTTACCCGAGGCGTCACATCAATCTGTTAAGTCATTGTCTACTCATTATAGCTGTGACAGCATTAAAATAAAACACAAGCCTGTTAAGAATTTGGCTTAGTAACTGGCCTTGTGCACTTCCCATTGATGCATGCATTATATACAATCGTTTAAGAAATCAAACCCTGTTTGTCAAAGGAGATGTTAAAAATCTAAAATTCAGAGCTTTTATTATTGGAATCTACAAACGGGAACCACTTTGTTCCACTTTGTACAGCACCCAATGAATAATTCAAAGTTGGTCTGCGTCATGTTTTATTCACCAGTCAGACTTCAACACCAAACAAGTCAGTGATTCGATAGAGTTGCCGTTACTGATACTTCTCCCTTGGTCTATCCCCAAAGAACATGTTTTATTATAAATGCATCACAGACATCTATATTTCGTATCTACTAATAAGACCTGGTCATTTCGGTGATCCAAGTTTCAATGAGATCACTACCCGCAAAGTGCGTAACAACATTGCATGAACGTAACTCACCAGTGTAAGATGAGTCAGTGATGCGTGTGAGTGACAGCGCGCCGGGGCCAATCACAAACTAGGCCAATTTCAGCAGTCACTGCTCAGGAAATGGCCGGTCAGTTTAAAGGCACAAACGGCTGCATTGCTCCCCAGAACAACCACCCTCAGCTTACGTTCGAAATGGCTGACTGAGGGAGCAGATTTAATTCCCCGAGGGAGACGATTGTGATCAACATAACAAGGTGAGTGTTGAATAATACAACTGCGTTTGGAGAAATGTAAGAAGGAGTTCTTTGGCAATAGACAATCCAGAAAAAAAATCATTTAAATTATTTGACAGTGTTCGCTTGCCCCTTAGCAAAGGCTGAAGCTGACCTCTCTTCTAACATTAGTCAGATTTGGAATAACCATGTGAAAGTGATTTTGGTGAATATTGCCAAAAGCAAGTCTGAACAGCGTATGTTCGTGTACGTTTGTCTCTTCGTGATTCGGAAAAATGCTCAAGTAGCCCATTACTTGAGCTTTTCAAAAATTTGAGTTCAATTTGCAACGAAACATTCTGAAACTGAACGTTTGTGATCGTGACCCATAATTACAGACGCCGTCTGGACTTCAGTGGGCCAAATTCCACTACCAAACTTTTGCTTGTCTTTTTTCAGGCTGTCTGATATGTTTGTACGTTGGTTTGAGTCACGCCAAGACTGTCTGGCTGACATTGCGCGTTTACACAGTCAAGCAAAGACAAACACCAAATTTATTGTGACCACAGATCAGATATTAATGCTGGGAGTTGGGCTGCAAGTCTTTCCTGACGTCAAATCTGCTTGCTTTTCGCCTTAAAAAGTAAAAGGGGTCTCTGCATATTGGCTAGTCATTACAGAGCGAGTGTGCAAAGTGTTCTGCAGACTCTAATGTCTGTAACATTTGAGTTATCAATGGACATCTAAATACTCTGCTTTTTATAGTGTCAATCTATCCTCGTTATTTTAATGAGCTTTTTGTAAAAAACCTCTTATAGTGAAATCATATCGAAAATATAAAGTGAGAATGTCCCACATGTCAGCCTAACAGGAATTAGTTTGACAATTTCAATATAAAAACCATATCAAGCTTGTTTATCATTTATTCTATTTTATTGATGCTAATTTGGATATTCGACAAATAATTTGAATAAGATGACGCTATACCCCAACAATTTCCCTTCGACATTAGATTAAAACCAAAAAGAATACACCCTCTAATGTAATCTTAGACGGACGTATTAAAACATTTCTGTGCAATTAATCCATTTCACAACCCTTTATTTAATATAGTGTCTGCATCTAACGTAAACTTTTGTTTTCCCAACCAAGTCAATAACAATAAATCATGAATATATGTAACATGAACGAAAAGTTGTCAAATCTTCATCCTTACACTTCATTCATTTATAGTTCAGGCTTTGCAGTTATTCCTTCACCAATGTTCGGTAGCACTCGTAAAACAGTATAATGTTGATGTTGAGTTTTTGACTTATTTTTTCAAATGACATTAATTTAATATGATTTTTTTATTCATTTCAGTTTTATAGTTTTTCTCGTCGTTGCTGGCTTCGAGAAAGTAAGAAGGACATAAGAGTAAGCTGTCTTGATTTTTTTTCTAGCTGTCCCCTTAAGACAAGACTAGATTTGTTTCTATTGAGCTACCTGTAATGTTGTTTATATGCAGATATAAATATTATATTTTGTTTAAAAAAATCACCCAAATATAGTTTTAATTCCTAAATTGAACCTCTTAACGCATAGCGTTAACAACCAGGATTTTGACTAAATTTTTGGAGTTGCTTGGGGTGCAATAAAAGAAAGTATAATTTACCCACCAGAAATCAATCTGTTCTTAAAAAACCTCGCAAATGCCAGGCGAGTCAGTAAATTAAAAATTACCGTTTGGACACTGCCACTCACTTTCGTGTCGTTGAGAGTCTTTAGTCATATACATTGATTGAAATGATAATAAATTAGTAACTAAACTCAACATAACTTTTTTTAATTTGTCTCTTTGGAATTGCAACCGCCCTTACTCGTGTTGTGGCGTAACGCCACTGCGATGGCAGTGCTCTGAACGAGGGCTCCCTCTTTCTCAGGATATTGCGGGGACATCAGTATGGGAGGGTCAAACACAAATACATTACGTAGAGCGCAACCCATCGCCCAAATGCTGTGCTGCTAAGGGCCCTCTCTCATGTCAATTTCTTTGCAATGTATTGAAGTCATTTTTTAACACAGATTGGAGGATAGAATGGAAAACAAAAAGGAAAGAAAAACCTTCATATAAGTTTGAAACCTTTCTTTTAATGCCGTTGGTTACCTTGATGCTTTTTCAAACTCCAAAATGGTCCCTTGGTAATAACAATTCTGTTACAAATTGGATACAAGCAAGGATGGTAAAAATTTGAAAAGCGAAAAGACACGGTCTGACAGTCTGTGGCGTCTTGGTGCAGCCATTTCAACTGTTCTTTTTGAAGTACACAGAGGCCTTTCAAGCTTTGGGTGTCTGGCGGGGGTTAATCCAAAATTGATTGGTGTTTTGGGCTTACCTAACATTAAGGTGGCATAGAATAAAGTCAAAAGCCCTACTCGCGGTGTTGTTGCCTTTATTTGCTGGTGTTATCTTATGCTTTTGTTGCTAATATTTAATAAAGAAATATACAACAACTTTCTTTCCTACTCAGCTAAGTATCACTTGCAAGAAATCTGTGGGGGCGGGGGGGAGGGCATTTTGCCCCTGCATCCCGCAGCATACGCCACCGGAAGTAGATTTCCATATCGTTATTAATATGGTTGGATGACCTTAGGATTTTAATTTTTTTTCATGGCTGTTTGGCGAGGGGGTTTTTAATTAAGCGGCCAGTTCCATTGTCATCAATATGGGAGGTCAATATTTTCAATGTTCAACTGGATACTTACCTCCTGGCCACCTAATGTACTGATAGATATTTTTTTCAGCCCCAAAGAGTCATGTTTCTCTTTGTCACGTTCGTTCTTTTTAACCTTTTTTATTCTTCTCTAATTATATTCAAATTTCACTACATTTGTTTAGATGCAACTCTGTTTTGCAACCACCCTTACAATCGCCATCCTCCTGGGTAACTCTATCAAGCTCCGAGCTGCCATTACCGGGCCGGCTACCGCCGAGAGTGATGGTCCTGGGTCTCAGGTGTGTCCTATGTGCTGCCAGGGACCTGCTGGAACACCCGGAATTCCGGGCCTACCAGGAAATCAGGGTCAATTTGGACCGGCAGGGGCAAAGGGCGATGCTGGGGTCAAGGGTCAGAAGGGTGAGATAGGTCCAACTGGCGCTGTTGGGAACCCTGGCCCCAAAGGGGACGATGGACTGGGCCTGCCCGGTAAGGTAGGTCCTAGAGGTCCACCTGGTGTAGTTGGTGCTATTGGGGAGTCAGGGGCCAAAGGTCAAAAGGGCGAGCCAGGGGAGACTCCAGATACCTCAGTCCACCAGGTAGCATTTACCGTGATCCGGACAAGTCCCTCGGATATATCTACGAGTCATGCCACCCTTTTGCCCTTCCAGCAGGCTAAGAGGCTTTTGCCAGGTACCAGCTTTGATCTTGGGACCGGAACATTCACTTGTAACGTGCCGGGCACCTACGTATTTACGTTTTCTGTATACAAATATTCATCTAACCAACTCTTCGTTCATCTTAGGAAAAACGATGAATGGGTTGTCTCTGGCGGTAGCTATGATTCCAGACACAGTGAGCAGGTGTCTGCGAGCGCGGTGCTGGTTCTGCAGCGAGGGGACTCGGTGTATTTGACCATGTATGGTAGGGCAACAAGTGCTTCAACCTATGCCTACACATCATTCACTGGCTTTCTACTTTACTCCCAGTGAACAAGAGAACGTATGGACTAAAATACGCACGATTGCGTGTATGTGCTTTTGTGCTTTTTTGGATGCGAATGTTTGTACGAAAGCTTCAGTCTCTGCAGATCAATGTATTTGGAAACACGTAGCTTTTCCTGCAAAATTATTATCCTGAGCTAATCTTTATCAAATTCAATATTCATTGTTTGGGTACCTGGGACCTGATTTTGCTTTTGTTAAAGTTGAAACGTGTTTAAAATGAATGCAGCATTGTCTTTATTGAGGAAAAATGAACTAAATCATCTAAATTAACATGAAATTAATCAATCAAAAAATTCTCTAACGTAAAAGATGCCGCCATCATGACGACATCTCAAATATAAATAGGAGTAGTTCCGAGCTAATCCATGCCGACCAGAACTTGTTTAGTTGTGTATCAAAAACCGTGCTTTTGAAGATGTCATCGCAAGGTCATTATTTCCTAACTTCAATTGCAATTTTTTTTACACATGTTTAAGATATTGTGCATGCAATTCCGAACAAAATTCGTGACGGAAAATGAATCGCAAATAATGTCAAATGGCAGGCTGTTATGTGTTTAATTAAAGATACATTGCAGTCATGTCAGCAAGGAAAACAGGCAAACCCAAGTTGATGGTAACAATGGACTTTTGTTTAAAGAAAAGCCTTAGCGAACCTTTGACGTGTCACGGATCAGAAACTCAAATGATATTCTTTTGTTTACATTGAAACGTTTTCCATGTTGATGAATTTGGTTACCTGAGGTGGGCCACGCTCCATTCTTGTCAAGTTCAACCTAATCCCTAATCTTGGACTCCAACCCATCCTAACTGTCAGACACACGACGAATCCAGACATGTTTAGGACGTGCTGAGTGCAGCAGCCGCTGAATGCAACTACAGCAAGCTGTTTATTTTCACCATAGTTAACTGTGTTGGATTAAAGTAATTATTTTATTTCTATCATATGGGCCTCTGAGATATCACATACTTTCTTCGATACAAGAACAGAGACACAACATAATACTTTTCATGGCAACATCTACAGCGATCAACTGCGATAGACTGCATGGTTTATTACCTTTATTCCTGATATTAAATGATAATAAATATATCTACTCTACCTGTTTGTAGCATCACGTGTGAACCCTATTGTAATGGAAGTAAAAACACAAAGAAGGGACTTAATATTTGTAAAGTTATCCAAGACAACACAACATTTACATTGTGACTGTAAGGTTAAAAATATATGTTTGTTATGTATTTATATTAATCTACCACTTACATCCTTACAACATACTCACTTGTAACTAATGCTATAAGAGGTTGCATAGTTGCCCGTACGTAGTCATGATTGTTAAAATGATACTGTAAGAATGTACCCATATTACAGAACCTGTTTCAAACACCTGGATGTAGTCGATTGGAGACAGAATTTTAAAATGTCATGATGTGTACTTTAAAGCCGCTTTCTGAGTGTGTGGTTTTTTTAAAAGACTGTTCAGTTGTTATATACGGTGAATCCTTGTCCCAGGAAGATTACTTTTATACATTTTTTTTGTTTATATTCACAAATTCCACAAGTGTCCCCTTTCCTTCACAATGGGCCACTGGACATCAGTTAAAATTAAAATATGGCAAAAATGTGTACAGTATCTTGTGTGTGTATTAACACGAAACTTTCTATTTGTAACGTTTTTTTCAGACCAAAACTTGTGTCATTACCTCTTATTATCTATAAGAGATTCTCATTCACCACTGTCAAAATACCAACAGTACCTTAGCCGACCGGGTAAGGTCTTCTGCTGGGACTGTTGGCGAAGTCCAGGTGAGCGCCTTAGTACAGGCTCGAGACGTATGGCCGACTTGACGACCAGGGCTTAGGGGCTTGTCTAGTTTGCCCCCTTGCCTGGTCGCTCGAACCCTTTTGGGGTTTAAAGGATGGGCAAGGAGGGGGTGCGGTGGGCTGGAAACCCCAAGACCCCAGATTAGTCCGATATGGAAGCCAGAAACCGCGATTCCTTGCGAATGTCAAGAGGCCGTGCGCCTGAATAGTCTGTCACCACCCCAAAATTTTTGGATTTCAGTCCCTCACCACATCTTTTTGTTAACGTTTCTCTTGACGCACAAACCATAAGGCAACTTTCTAGGTTTTAATACAGTGAGTTAAAGAATTGATGCTGACCTCTTATCATTAACAACCGTAACTTCCTTCATTCTCCAACGATAAAACCGATCCTAACCGTGCCCAGGTTTATTTTTTTTTAAAAATTATTTCGGTGTAAAGGCAGTGCCGTATCTTGTGAATGTTTCATAATTTATAGTTTAACAGTTACGGATCCAGGGCTGGCCTCCTTATTTTATTGATTGAAATGCATTTTCATTCTTCAAAATCAAAAAATTGTTTGCTTTCAACTGCAAAATAGTTTCATATTTTCAAAAATAAAATCTCACAAAATATATGTCCACTTTAGGTTGGATCAATCTTCTGGGTCATCCTACCGCTGCAACAAGTTCATTGCAACTGCAAATTTTTGCTATAAGTTAAATATCGGTATTTGAGTTACAAAAATGCCAGGGCAACGGTTTCAAGTAAGTCCCTTTCCGAAGTCAAACAGAATACTGCTAACATTCACCAGGCATTTTTTAAAGGTTTCCAAAAATCCAACACAAGTAGTGACCACTCCATATTTACCTGGTTGTTGCGTGTGAAAACAGCGTAAGAAACTTTTTAACACTATCTTTGAGTGGCTGTAATATTTTGCAAGAACTTGAGTGAAAACACAGCAAAAAGTATGTTCCTTTAACAAACCATGATAAGTAATTCGGATTTCTATTCATAATCAGGATATCAGGAGGTGGGTGTTCGTGCACAATGAAAAAAAGCCGTATAAACAATCGTCAAATGTCCACTTGTAGCCATGGATTATACAGTCACTGTATGTTTATTGTTCAATATATCTTAAACAACCTATTAAAAAAGTTAGCCAGCCTTACCCAGTGTCGTATATGTTGAATTTGGTTGGAGCAGGTATAAAAAAAGAGATATCTGAGCTCTTTCAATACCCTACCTGTAAGGTTGAACAAATCCTATCATACAATCACCACACAAGTTGGCAAGTCCTAACCTAGATCTGCAGATCTAAAACCCTTAGTTTGTTAACCATTTGTACGTTCCTTGAATGGCTGCAGGCGTAAAAGCGCCAAATCATGCACAAACTGAAGCAAGCCAAAGCGTTAGAGGGATGAAGTGAAATCCTGAAAAAAGTACTGTTCGATTATGGGGGTCATAGGACAACAGTTTAGAAACGTTTTGGCGGGAGGGGGGTTCTCTTAAAAATGGCAATATGTTTACATTTCCCAGTAGGGTAACCACAGTAGCTAACCACTCATGCTTGCCTAATTTGCCCTCTCACAGTGATTTGTATGGGCAATTACTCGAGCAGTATAACCGTTACCCACACAGTTTGTGGTGAATTGTACGCCACTATGAGCAAACAACTGAAAGGCTCGGCCGATCAAGTGGTTTCTACCTCAGAAATTAATTAACTGACAATTGGAAAGGCCTAGGCTTTACCGGTCCTAGCCCCTCAGTGGTGACTAGCATGCTGCTCCATCCATAAAAGAAACAAATTAAGAACAACGCCAAGAGAAATGAAAGTTACCGGTTTAATAGGACAAAATTACGTCAGTGCTACGTACAACTTGTGAGTCCTCCAAAGTCTATGTTGTTCCTTCTTATCATTGTAATTGAATGCGTTGTGTTTGCATCAGTTCTAGACCACAACACCACCCCTACCCCCCCAAATAATCGGTCTCTGGTCAGCACACGAATCGTTTTTTAACATCTGCGCCTATGGGGGGGGGGTTCTCAAAATTGTCGTAACAGCGCCCTCTATTCCAGCACCGTCTTAATGTTTGCGAGTAGACTGATTCTCGAGCACAAGTCCCTAAGTCGGAAGAGCAATTTGTTCAAGGGACCAGACTTATTTGTGGGTGGCTCGTACCTGGTGATAGTTCCGTCACGACTGCTTAATGTTTATGTCAAACACAAACAGTAGACCATGGATAGGTTACAGCCAGCAGCCAGTAAGTTGCAGCCAACTGATGAACAACAATGGCGGCATGACCTGCGATGTGCTACGACTAGCCTTTGCTCTTGGATTAAATATGGCACTCATTTCCGTGTCTGTTGCCAGTCTTAAAAGCCAACCCCATCCACCAAAAAAGAATTATATATAAAAAAATAAAAACGCATCTCCCCATCACTTCTGGAATTTTGGCCTGACCAGACACCGAGTATTTCGGTTTGTTTTGTTTCTTGGCCTTACCGCTGGATTTGTTTTCAAGATCAGGGTGTGGAATTTTTCAAGACTTTCCAATCCGACGTGAATTAATACACAGCCCTTTGTAAATGTAACAAAATACACCTGTACATGTCGGCCAAGAATGGTTTTTCTGTGCAGGCAGAAAATTCTTAAGTAAGCTGTACAGTAAATTGGCGCGATTATTTTGCAAGGACTGATACATGCTAGACAGTGTAAGTTTAACGCGTCACAACATGGACACTCTATTTACCATGTGCTTGGAACAAGACATAAGTTACGTTCCTAGCTTATAAACACGGAATTTGACCCGACGTATGGCATCCAGACACCTTTGAGGATCAATGAGTTTTAAACAAATAAAAGAAAACTCATACGTATTGGACAATTTAAACTCTAAATGAAATTTATATTTTCATCTAATTTTTTGAATTTTTTTCAGTTTTTTTTAGAAGTTTTCAAGATGGGTCTGAATTATTGAAGATCTTGAAAAGATTTCAAGTAGTGGCAACACTAGTATGCAATACTGAATTCAACTCTGTTTTTACCAATGAGAGCAGAAATGCCACCCATACGTTTAACAACTTCCTGTAAAGTGCAAAGGGTCGTTCATTGCAGTGTGTAGAGTGGAATGTATAAAACAATGTTATTCTTTGCATGACGTTACTGTTGGTCGATTTCTCTGTAGGAATGTTGCAGCCGTTACGGCTTTACTTGGCTAGGAATAAACACAAATCGCGTGTCTATGGAAGCAGCTAACCTCTGGCTTTGTGCAAATCCAATCGATGCGTGTATAATGTACAGTTGTAGCAAATTAGTTCTTTAAAAAAACTTTTTATCGACGGAATTGTTAGAAATCTGGAATACAAAGTTCAAACGACAGCCACATAAGCCACTCGTGCGTCTATGGAGCAGCTAACTTCTGGCTTCGTGCATATCCAATTGATGCATGTATAATGTACAATTGTAGCAAACTAATTCCGAAAAAACTTTTTTGTCAATGGAATTGTTAGAAATCTGGAATACAAAGGTTTTTCAAACGACAGCCGCAAAAGTGCTATTTGCTCAGAGCTCAGTGAATCACGCATGAGTGATCTATGTCCGTCTACGTTTTATCCACCAATCAGACCTAAACACCAAAACAAATCGGTGATGTAAGAGGGGGTTTGTGACTGATAGATCTGCCCGTGTTCATCAATAAAGAGCTTGTATGAATTGCAGACATCTACCTGATATCCACCAATGACACCGAGACATTTCACAGTGTCGGTGATCCATGTTTCAATTGTCCCTCTTCTCCGCAAATTGTGTAAAAATATTGCATGATCATCTGTATGAGGTAAGTCAGCGATGTGTGTGAGTGACAGCGCAGGGGCCAATTGCAAACCAGGCCAGGTGCACCAGTCACTGCTCAGAAAATGGCTGGCCTGTTAAAAGGCACGAGCGTCACTCCTCAGAACAACCACCCTCAGCTTCAGATTAAGATGACAGATCTGAAAGAGCAGACCTGATTGGCAGAGAGAGCAGACTGTTACTTTACATTGCAAGGTGTGTGTTTAATAATATATCCGAGTTAGGAGCGTGCATGGACGAGGTCCATGAATTATATATTCTGGGAATTATTGGTTCAAATTACTCAATTCCATTAATTCCCCTTACACAAATCAATCTGTCTAGAGTTGGAATTCTCAAATTCTCACATCATTTTTCAGGCTAATGCATTCGAACAATTTTGCTCATGAATAGTCAAGTGCACATTTAAGCAAAATCGTCCCAACAGGTGAAATATAAAGGTTGTACTGAAAATAAATCGAAATCTGAAGGTGAAAATGTCTTAGTACATCTGAAACCTATACAATTTCTAATTTTTCCAGTCCTGAAAAATCTGAAACAATTTGTTTCAAAAACACAGCCATCCTAAATCTATGGTCAGTAAATGTATACTCGGCAGTGTGCAAAATTTTCGAACATACGTGTGTCAGAAAAAAATGACAAAATATAATGAAAAAAAAAGTTTGCCCTTGGCAACTGAACATGCTGAACAAAGTGAGCGCCAAATAGCGCCCTCTGCTTTGACTGAAGTTTGTTGAAATATATCCTGGAACTAAGATTTCATTTACTTAGAAGAAAATAC